TGCCAACCAACGATTTCTGTGTTAAATCGCGAGAAAATTAACCTTTTCTCCGTTCCCAATTTCAAAAGAGAAGTTTTTGAAAAAATGCGACGCTCAGTCGAGGGGTTCGCCATAGTGACTAACTCAAACCCGCGATAGAAAAATTGCAGCAAACTTCCCGAAAACGTTCGAAAGCTGCAATTTAGATCAACAATATTTCAGAGCCTTCATAGTCTGAATATTTCAGAGTTTTCTCTATATAATGCCACGATCATCTTTTCTGTATCTGTGTTTAATTTTTTAAAATTCCGAACGCAAAAATCAACTATTAGAAAAAAACGCGAAAAATTGGTGAAAGCTACGGAAAAGTAGTAGACTTCCACACTTGTTAACCCATAATTTCTGTATTAAATCGCGAGAAAATTAAATTTGTCTCCATTTCCATTGAGCTAGCGAATTTTCCGAAAAATGCGACGCTCACTCGAAAGGTTGCGTCCGAAAAATAGTAGCAAATTTCCCGAAAACGTCCCAAACTTGCAATTTTATTCACAAATATTGCAGAGCCTTGTGTATCTAAGGCAGCCATCATCTTTTCTCCATCTGTTTTAAATTTTGAGTAATCATTTTTTTTAAATGCCGCGACACTAATCAGAAACAAATTTTGCCTACGAACAAGCTGATGATGGTGGAAAAACACCGAAACGTTTTTAAGAAAATTGACTAAATTGTGATGCCTAAATAAATGACTGAAACCCAGTAATGTTGTTTATATCAAAATTGGGACTAAAGTCAGGAAAACTTACATGAAGAGTTATAATGTAAAAACGAAGTTGTTTTGCAGGATTTTTCCAAAAAAATTAGCAGATATGAGGAAATCAAAAACGAAATAATTGATTTGCGACGATCAATCCCTTTAAATATGATCACATTGGACTGTGAGCAAATAAACGAAACCCTTTACAGTATTATAGATGATCTGCGAATGAAGATAGTTGATTATTTTATCGATGAAAATCATGCCCTCAACAGAAGGTACCGTCGCATTTTTCAAAAACCCCAGGAAAACTTGATTTGACTGCTTGCTGCAGCATCTGCGACATGTTTGACGAAATGTCCCAAAAAGTTAGCGGAACCCCGGAAACAGTGGCCGATTTGGTCGAACTCCAGAATTACGTGATTGAATGCCGCGATGTGACCATGTACAACTTGAAGGATCAAATTCGGAAAACCGCTGAAAATGTGAACTTCCTGATGCAACACGCTCACTTAACTTGTGAGTATTTGCAAACAGAGCGCACGATTGAATAGTCGAAGCTGCACAGGAAAACGCGCTACATTTCAGCTGAAGACGTCAGCCTAAACTCGAGAGTTTTCCTATGGCCCAAAGACATGGAAGCCGTAATAGAACTGGCGATTCAGCGCCTGAACATGAAGAGAGAGCAGGCGGAGCAGGCGCTGAAGAACCGAAGAATCCAGTTCGATGCCAAACTGAAGCGGCATGAGAAACTGCTGAGCAACTTCAAGAAAAAGGACCCTCCGATGCTCACCGTCGAAGAGATGGAGGAAAACGTGCAACAAGTGGAGACAATTGTGGAACGACTGCAGGTAAATTTTCAATAAACGCCGTCGATTCTTCGAATCGACCAAAACCAATCCGCAGGAAGACAAAGCGGAGGCGGAGCAGATAAACGAAGAAGAACAACTTCTGGATATTGATCCTTCGCCCTTCATGAACCTGGCCAAGATGCTGACAGTTGTAGATCCATACGATAAACTGTGGCATTCCGTTCTGGAGTTCCACGAAAACTATGAGGCCTGGTAAGGTCAAGTGGTTCACCGGCCTGGCAAAAGACGCAACTTTTGGCTTTTCCAGGTATTACGGGCCGTTTGCCGGTCTGGACGCGGATGAAATAACCGAATACGTGGACAACATGTGGAGGACTCTGTACAAACTAGCCAAAACGTTGAGCGATAATCCGGGCGCGAAACGAATAGCGGAAATGGTTCGGGCCAAGGTTGAAAAATTCAGGCAATTTCTTCCGGTGCTTCAGACCGTTTGCAACAAGGGCCTGCAACAGCGCCATTGGGATAAGGTACTGACCATGTCTGCAGGCCGTCAGATATTTAAGTCTGTACTGCTCAGATTGGGGAAATTGTTGGCGCTCCCGTGCTCATAACGGCGGAGTCCACGCTAAACGATATGATTGAGGCCGGCCTGCCCAAATACTCGCAGCAATTGGAAGAAGTGAGTGCGGCCGCCACTAAAGAATACACGCTGGAAAAGAATCTGATGAAGATGAAGGAGGAATGGGTGGATGTTCAGTTCGAGTGCATCCCCTACAGGTGCGGCCCGTTAGCCAATTTGCGATATACACAATTTTTTTAACGCCTTTTCAGAGAAACTGGCGTATTCATCTTGTCTGCTGTGGACGACGTCCAGGTCATGATGGATGACCACATTCTAAAGGCGCAAACCATGCGCGGCTCGCCTTATGTTAAGGCCTTTGAGGCGGTTATGCAGGAGTGGGAAGAGAAGCTGATTTCTATGCAAGACATCCTGGAACAATGGCTTCAGGTGGGTGGGAGCTTCCAGTGAGCACAATTGAGGCAAAATGCGTGCTGTTTTCAGTGCCAAGCCACCTGGATGTACTTGGAGCCCATATTCAGCTCCGAAGATATAATGAGGCAGATGCCGACCGAGGCCAGACACTTCAAGACGGTGGATCGAGTGTGGAGATCCGTTCAGGCCCACACGGTCAAAGACACTCATGTTCTGGTGGCAACCGAGTACAAAAACATGCTGCCTCTGCTCAGAGAAAACAACAGGCTGTTGGATGAAATACAGAAGGGCCTGAACGATTACCTGGAGAAGAAGCGACTGTTCTTCCCTAGGTGGGCAGCTCTTGGTGGTGTTGTGGTGCAAAAACTGAACGGATTAACTGTGCTTGAAGATTCTTCTTCCTGTCCAATGATGAGCTGCTGGAAATTCTGTCCGAAACCAAGGATCCCCTGCGGGTGCAGCCCCATCTGAAGAAGTGCTTTGAAGGGATCTACGCGCTGGACTTCACGAAAGACGAGGAGGTCATTGGAATGGTCAGTGCGGAGAAAGAGAGGGTCACTTTGAGTAGCAAAATCATCCCAGCTGAGGCCAAGGTAAGGGAAATTCATCGAAACTCGGTGCCAGTAGGAACTGTTTGCTGTGTAGGGCATGGTGGAGAAGTGGCTGATTCTGGTCGAATCGGTAATGATTCAATCCTTGAAAGACATTACGAAGAAGGCCATCGATAATTATCCGGCAGTCGAGAGGCCCACATGGATCTTGACCTGGCCTGGACAGATTGTTCAGTGTGTCGACTGTATCGAGTGGACCACTGAAGTGACCGGCGCCATATTCAGCGGAAATCTGGCCGAACAGGAGGAGATTTGCACTGAGCAAATTGAGTCCAGCGTCAAAATGGTCCAGGGCACTTTGAAGCCGAACAACCAGGTTACAGTTGAGGCCTTGATTGTCATCGATGTGCATTGTAAGTGCGACTATTTGAAAAAATGATGTTATCCAAAAAACATTTTTACACTCTCTGTTAGGTCGCGATATTGTCACTAAACTGAAGGAGCTGAAAGTCACATCAGTGGCGGATTTCAACTGGATCTCCCAATTGCGATACTATTGGCGAGCGGATGGCGTGAGCGTCTGCATGATCACCACTGAGGTCCAATATGGGTTTGAATATTTGGGAAATACTGGCCGATTAGTGGCTACCCCACTTACTGATAGGTGTTACCGGTAAACCAGCGCTAGAATTTTGCTCGTCGAACGACCTTTTTTGTGCGATTTTGCTTAGAACCTTAATGGGCGCCTTGAAGCTGAATTTAGGGGGAGCGCCCGAAGGCCCGGCAGGCACCGGAAAAACCGAAACCTGCAAAGACCTGGCCAAGGCTGTTGCGAAGAAGTGCGTGGTCTTCAACTGCTCGGATGGCTTGGACTACAAGGCGCTGGGCAAATTCTTCAAGGTGATTGTTTGGGCTAATGGAAAAGGCTCTGGAATGCCGCTGATGTTTGCAGGGCTTGGCCCAAGCTGGCGCTTGGGCTTGTTTCGACGAGTTCAACCGGATTGAGCTCGAGGTTCTATCGGTGGTGGCTCAGCAGATCTCCAGCATCCAAACGGCCGTGGCCGCCAAGCTGACCAAGTTTGTGTTCGAAGGCACGGAAATCACGCTGGACCCAACTTGCACAGTTTTCATTACAATGAATCCGGGGTAGTTTGAAGGCAGCCCTTTGAAGGCAGCCCCCGTCGCTGATAGTTGATTTTCCAGATATGCCGGGCGGCAGGAGTTGCCTGATAACCTAAAGGTGCTCTTCAGAACCGTTGCCATGATGGTGCCGGACTACGCGATGATTGGGGCCATTTCGCTTTATTCCTATGGGTTCGTGCAGGCCCAGAGGTAACCCACAGTTAACGAGCAGTCGAATGTTGATCTGAGGCAGTTTTTAAAGCTTGGCTGAAAAAATCGTCCATACTTACAAGCTCTGCTCCGAGCAGTTGTCGTCGCAAAATCACTACGATTACGGCATGCGAGCTGTAAAATCTGTGCTATTGGCGGCTGGCGCCCTACGAAGAGCGTACCCCAACACCGAAGAAGCCCAGCTAGTTCTTCGGGCCATTATCGATGTAAATCTCCCGAAATTTCTGGCCCAGGTACATCAAGGTTCTGGTTAGCTGAAAATTGCCCAACGTCCTTTGCAGGACGTGCCGTTGTTCATCGGGATCTACCAAGACCTGTTCCCCAACGTGGAGGTGCCAGCATTCGAACGATCCGACCTGATCGAGTGTCTGATTTACGACATCCAGCTGAAAAACCTGCAAGCCACTCCCTGGTTCGTGGAAAAGTGCATGCAGGTCTACGAAATGATTTTAGTTCGGCATGGGCTGATGATCGTGGGGAAGCCGATGGGAGGAAAGACCAGCGCGTATCAGGTAAACGCTTCCAAACCCCCCAAACTTGCCAACATCTTTCACTGCTAGCGCCTGGCGGATGGATTGGGGCGGCTCAGTGGCCGGCAGGACGCCAAACTGATCGAACACAGTGTTATCTACAAAATAATCAACCCTAAGGCGATAACGATGGGCCAGTTGTACGGCCAGTTTGACCCAGCTTCCCATGAATGGTCGGATGGAGTGTTGGCCAACACGTTTAGGTAGGAAAATTGTGTGGGGTTCCCCCACACAATTTTGCACTAATCCATCGGCTTAGGGAGTTCGCAAACAGCTACACCTTGGATCGCAAGTGGATTCTATTCGACGGCCCAGTGGACGCTGTCTGGATTGAGAACATGAACACTGTGCTGGATGACAACAAAAAACTTTGCTTAATGTCTGGAGAAATTATACAGGTGGATGGCTGCCAGCATTGAGTCTGGATAATATTGGGGGCTTTCCAGATGTCGCCTCAGATGAATTTAATCTTCGAGCCGGCTGATTTGGAGCAGGCCTCGCCAGCCACTGTGTCCAGATGCGGGATGATTTACATGGAACCTCACTTGCTAGGCTGGAGGCCGCTCATGGCGTCCTACGTTGCCACTCTGGAGAAAATCCTCTTGCCAGAACAGATCGAAATTTTGGTCGAGTGCACCGACTGGCTGGTGCCGCCCTGCTTGGAGTTCATCAACAACAGCTGCAAGAAATTCGTTGAGACTTCCGACACCCATCTGTTCCACGTAAGGATGTTCCAAACATTTTCGAAGTTCTCCCTGCACGCTCGTTACTTGTTCCCAGTCATTTACACGCCTTTTCAAGTGCCTTTTGGTCGAAGAGAACCAGGTGAGCACGGTCTGGATGCAGTGCGTGTTTCTCTTCTGCCTAGCGTGGGGTTTGGGGTCGACGTTGACGCTCGAGGGGCGCAAAATGTTCGATGCGTTTTACCGGAAAATACTCGAGGGGCAAAACAAGCACCATCCCAAGCCCAAGTCATTCAAACTGTCCAAGAGCCAAATCTTTCCCGATCGCTCGGACATTTTCGATTGGCTCTACGATAAGAAGAACAACGGCTCTTGGATCACATGGAGCGACACAGTGGATAAAGTCCAACAAATAGCACCAAACGCTAAGGTGGGTGGTAGTTGCTAGCAAAGGGATGGATTCAATTTTTTCTTTGCAGCCAAGTGAATTGATCATTCAAACGAACGCCTCCTGTTGCCAGAGGTATTTCCTCAGGCTGTGCCTTGCGAACAGCATGCCAATCCTGTTTGTCGGCCCAACTGGAACTGGGAAAACTGCGGTCACTCTTGACCACATGCTGGGCCTTCCAAAGGAGAAGTTCCTGCCAAATATTGTGAATTTTAGTGCGAGAACCACGTCCTCCATGGTAAGTGGCAAGCGGACATGTGTGGACCAGCTATTTTACACACGCACATCCCGTCCAGACTCAAGAAATGGTCATGTCCAAGCTCGACAAGCGACGAAGAGGCGTGTATGGTCCTTCAATGGGGAAAAAATGCATCCTGTTTGTGGACGATGTGGGCATGCCCCAAAAGGAAACCTATGGGGCACAGCCCCCCGTTGAGTTGCTCAGACAGTGGCTGGATCACGGCCATTGGTTTGACAAAGACACCTCCACATTGCAATTGGTCGATATAGTAAAACGCGTTCTTCGACAGTGGGGTTTTTTCTTGATTCGGGACTTTTCAGCTATTCGTTGGGGCCATGGGAGTTCCAGGTGGCGGCCGCAATGAAATCAGTGATCGCTTTTTGCGCCACATGCAAATCATCACCATTGATTCCTTCGACGACAATACACTGAACAAAATATTCTCTACCATTATTGATTGGCAGTTCAGCAAGGGATATGTTGAGGTGGTCCAAAGGATGGCAAAGGTAGGCAATTTTGCACAATTCCACTGCTGATGACCATCCAGGTGGGTAGTTTTCCGTTGGAGCAACCAACGAAGTTTTCAAAGAAGCCACCCTGAGGTTCCTGCCCACACCCGCAAAGTCCCATTACACGTTTTCGCTAAGAGATTTTGCCCGAGTGGTTAATGGCTTGTTGATAACGCCCCCGTCCAAAATGGACGATCAGAACAAATTCATCAGGCTGTGGATCCATGAAACTTATCGAGTCTTTCATGACAGGCTTATCGACGATGACGATCGGTACTGCAGATTGGTACTAAGGTTTCGAATAAATCAAGTGCGTGACCGTTTTCTTAGGGAGACATTGTTCAACATCGTTGTGCAGGCTTGTTACCAGAACTTTCGCACTCCAATGGATAAAGCATGCGAGCCGTTGGTGTCCGAAGAGGAGAAATTGGGGCCGCAACATATCAGAAATTTGTTTTTTGGAAACTACATCGAACCTGATGCCGAACCGAAGATATACGACGAAGTAATGGCGAGCGGGTTGTAGGCTTTGGTTGGTAATGGAAAATGGGGTTTCAGATACTGGACATGGACGTTCTGATTGAAAAAATGGAATACTACTTGAGCGAGTACAACATGATCTCAAAATCGCCAATGAACTTGGTCATGTTCAAGTTCGCTATCGAGCATGTTTCCAGAGTATCCCGAGTGCTCAATCAGCCCAATGGAAACGTCCTCTTGGTGGGCATCGGAGGCTCTGGGCGGCACAGTTCGGTTAAACTTGCTAGCGCCATGTGCGAGTACAACGTGTTCGAAGTACTTCAGCCACTAAATCCACAAATGAAAAGCTCAGAACGAAATCCCTTGCTTCCAGATAGAATTATCCAGAAACTACGGCATCCCGGACTGGAGGGACGACTTGAAAAGGCTGCTCCTTCGCGCGGGAATCGAGGGCAAGCCGATTGTGTTCATCTTTTCGGACACTCAAGTTGCAGACGAAATGTTCGTGGAGGAAATCAGCACCGTTCTGAATACCGCTGATGTGCCAAATCTGTATCAGCCAGACGAAAAGGCTGATATTTTGGAGAAAATGCAAAATGCAGCCAGAGAAATTGTAAGACTTGTCCGTCTCCCACTTGGTGACAAGTCAAAGAAATCTCTAACTTTTTTCAGGGAAGAAAAGTTGACCCAACACCGCTCGCACTGTACAACTTCTTCATCGAACGCGTGCGGCAAAATCTTCACGTCGCCCTGTGCTTCAGCCCAATTGGAGACGCTTTTCGAGTCAGATGCCGCATGTTTCCATCGCTGATCAATTGCTGCACAATCGACTGGTTCCAAAACTGGCCAGACGATGCCTTGGAACGCGTCGCCAACATGTTCTTGTGCCAAACGGACATCGGAAGCGACATGATTGAAAAATGCGTCCTCATGTGCAAGGAGTTCCACGTCACCGTGCAGGAGGCGGCTCTTCTATTCTATCGCGAGCAGAAGCGGAAAACCTACGTGACCCCAACATCCTACTTGGAGCTGATCCAGACGTTCATCAACCTGCATGTGCGGAAAGTCGATCAAATCAAGTTGCAGATCAACAGATACTTGACCGGTCTGGACAAGCTGGGCTTTGCTGCTGGTCAGGTTGGGATAATGCAGGAGGAGTTGCACAATTTGCAACCGCAGCTGATTGTCGCATCTGGGAAAACTGAGAAATTGATGATCAAGATTGAACAGGACACAGTGGTGGTTGAGAAGCAAAAGGAGGCAAGTGCTTAACGCGAATGGTGCGCACTAATCCTCATCGAATTTAATGCAGGTGGTTGCAGCGGATGAAGCCTTAGCCAACGAAGCAGCCGCAGCCGCTCAAGCCATTAAAGACGACTGCGAATCGGATTTGTCCGAAGCCATTCCGGCGCTGGAAGCAGCAGTCGAGGCGCTGGACACTCTGAAGCCCAGCGACATCACTCTGGTCAAGTCCATGAAAAATCCTCCTTCAGGAGTGAAGCTGGTGATGGAGGCGGTGAATAATAATCACTCAAGCCGCAGGCTTCAGTGCCCTGAAGCATTGAGTTGCAGATTTGTGTGATGAAGCAAATCAAGCCTGAACGGAAGCCGGATCTCACAACAGGAAGAATGGTGGAGGATTACTGGGGCCCATCGGTCAAACTATTGGGAGACATGAAGTTCCTGGAACATCTCAAGGCGTACGATAAGGACAGCATTCCGGTTCCAGTGATGAAGAAAATTAGAGACAGGTAACGGGGATGGTTGCATGGGTTTTTCCTACCAACCAGGCACATTTTGATCCTCCAGATATATGCCAGATAGGGAGTTCGATCCAGATCGAATCAAATCGGTGTCGACGGCCTGCGAGGGTTTATGCAAGTGGGTTCGGGCCATGGAAGTGTACGATCGCGTCATAAAAATAGTGGCTCCCAAAAAAGCGCGACTAGCCGAAGCCGAAGCTGAATTGGCCTTGCAAATGGACACCCTCAATGAGAAGCGAGCTCAATTGCAAGAGGTAACACCATTTCGATTGGCCCGCTCCTGAGTTTTTCACTTTTTTGCCGCAGGTGTCTGATAAGCTGCAAGCGTTAAACGATGAATTAGCTGCGGAGACAAAGAAAAAGAAGGAACTGGAGGACGACATCTACGTGTGCTCTCAAAAGCTGGACAGAGCTGAAAAGCTAATTGAAAGTTTAGGGGGTGAAAAGGCCCGATGGTCGGAAACCGCTGAAATGTTGGGCAATCTGCTGAACAACGTCATTGGCGATGTGTTGTTATCAGCAGGGGAAATTGCGTATTTGGGCGCTTTCACGGTTGATTACAGGTAGGCCTGGGTAATACTGTGTCTTAAGACACTTGTGTGTCCATGTGTCGCGACACTTTGAATAACACTGAACATTCACGATGGCAGAAACCCATCTCGACTCATTCACTGTCTATAAGAAAATTTGTATTTGCAACAGTTGGGAAGGGAACATTTTGAGAAAATTTTAATTTTTTCAAAAAATCGACC